TTTGGGACCCTGCACCCATATGGGAGACCCAGAGGAAACTCCTGGCTCCTGGCTTCAGATTGGCTCAGCTCCAGCTGTTGCAGTCACTTGAGGAGTAAACCATCAGACAGAAGATCTTCTCTCTCTTTCCTCCTCTCTGTATATCTGCTTTTCCAATAAAAATAAATAAATCTTTTTTAAAAAGAAAGAAAAGAAAATATAGCCAGGGGTCTGGCATGATAGCCTACCAGCTAAAGTCCCTGCCTCATGTGCACCGAGATGCCTGTTTCTAATCCTGGCAGCCCCATTTCCCATCCAGCTCCCTGCTTGTGGCCTGAGAAAGCAAAGATGGCCCAAAGCCTTGGGTCCCTGCACCTGCTTAGGAGACCTGAAGCAGCTCTGGCCTCCTGGCTTTGGATTGGCTCAGCTCCAGCTATTGCGGCCGCTTGGGGAGTGAATCATTGGATGGAAGATCTTCCTCTTTATACATCTAACTTTGCAATAAAACTAAATCTTAAAAAAAAAAAAAAAGGATGGTTGAGGCCCCAAAGCCCCAGGCTTTTGGTTCCCACAAGTTAGTGAGCAAAAATTACAGTCACACTTTACTTAGCTCTTAGCATCTATGCTGGAACTAAAGATTCTTCAAAATAACACTGGGGTAGTCACTGGTATTTTAATCAAGGCTAGTATTCCCATGTTTAATTCATTTTTCTCAAAAAGATACTTAGCTGAAAATACAGTAGAACTGGGATTTGAACCCCAGCTCCAAATCCAAGCCCCTTTGATAAGCCTCCCTGTGTCCTCAACTTGACTAGAGCTGGTCTTTAGAGTCGGGGACAGACACCCTCCACTCCCCGCGAATTCTTAGAAGATACCTGTACCCCAAAAGCTCCCTTCATTTTTCTCCTCCAAGGTCACCAGAGGAGTCCAAGATGTGGCAGCCAGCCTTGGCCTGCTACCCTCACAAGCAGGTTCATGCTTCTGCTGCCCCAGCTCCTCCGGTGAACCTCTGCATCTCCAGGGAGCATGACCGGTGTCCTCAGCTGCAGGAGCTGCCCGCGTGCCTTCTAAAGACCCCTGCTACCCAAAGACATCAGGACTCTTTGGAGCAGGACTGCTAATAGGGCTGGAGGAGTAGACAGGGCACAGTGGGGCTGTTGCTGGTGGCTGCGCACACATGTGCCAGGAACTGTTGAGGCCAGATGACCTGTTGGTGACAACAGTTGACCTGCTAAGCTTTCTCTCCTGGAGTGTGTGAGCAACGGCTGTCTTCTTGCTTGGAGGGAAGGCCAGATTCTTTTTTAGGCTTGAACGCTGAGAGGAAGGGGAGGACCAGGGTGGATGAGAGGGGAAGAACAAAGAGAAGGAGGATACAACCTGGGCACAGAGAGCAGGTTTCCAAGTCGGGAGAGTCTGCTGCGAGCAGAGCACAGGCCGGGTCCCAGGGCACTGTCAGAGCAGACACTTGGCTGTTCCTGAGAGGACAGAGGGGGAATACAGAGCACTGCAACAGGGAGAGCGTGCTCTCCCACAAAACTGCTTCTTTGGTCCTGCGATTCATCTTCTTGTTCTCTGGCAGGTTGGCAGTGGCTGAGAGTGAAGAGTGAGATACAAGGAGGAAAGGAGGGAGGGAAGGAGAGGGGCTGACTAGATGTGCACGTGTCTCTAGGGTTTTTCAGACAAAGCTATTATCAAAATGCCAACAGGCTCCTGCCTGGCCAATTTGCATATTCCACACTGTGCTCCTTGAAGCGGGATGAATATGCATGAGAGCTTGGGCGGGGTGTGGAGCTGTTGGGTTTAGGCTAATGTAGCGCATTGTTCTTTTGCAAAGAAGGAGCACCTGCGCGGTTAGCAGAATGGCCTCCCTTCTTGAGAGAGGACGCAGAAATCCTAACTGGTGTGCTCGCCTCCTTTCCAGAAATAATCAGGCGCCATCAAGAATGCGAGCGTCTCTTCTCGGAGAGGCGCGTTAATCACTCCCCTCCCCGTGCATATTAATCACCCAAGCTGCTGGAGAAGAGAGTCGCCTCCTCCCCCACCACTCATAGCTTCTGCAGGGAAAGCTGGACACCCTTGGGCGCTCCCCGCTTTGGCCTCTGAAAAGGCACATAGCCCCCCTCAGTGACTGCACGGTGGTGGGTGGGTGGGACATAGTGGGGGCCCGCTCAGTGCTCATAGAATGCATTCAGCCGCAGCCATGAGGCCTCCAGGCAGAATTCGTACAAGCATGGAGGATCAAACATTCTCATTGGTGGCCTCAGCTCCCCGGGAACTGAAGGCAGGAATGCTTCAAACATTAACCCGGTGAATATGAAGAGGGCTTGTTAATTTTTTAAAATCCAGCTTGTCGGGCCCGGCGCGGTGGCGCACTGATTAAGGTCCTCGCCTTGCACGCCCGGGATCCCATATGGGCGCCTGTTCTATCCCAGCAGCCCAGCTTCCCAGCTTCCCTTCCAGCTCCCTGCCTGTGGCCTGGGAAAGCAGTCGAGGACGGCCCAAGGCTTTGGGAACCTGCACCCGCGTGGGAGACCCGGAAGAGGCTCCTGGCTTCGGATCGGCATAGCATGGCCATTGCGCTCACTTGGGGAGTGAATCATCGGACGGAAGATCTTCCTCTGTCTCTCCTCTCTGTATATCGCCTTTCCAATAAAAAAATAATAAAAATAAATCTTAAAAAAAAAATCCAGCTTGTTCCACGAACCTTAGGAACCCAGAAAATGTTCAGATTTTTTTCTGAGTTTCTTATCTATTTCCCATGGTGGCAGAGATGAAAGGATAGATAATGGGAGAATGTTCCATTTGCTAAACGATTTGTACCTTGGGTTGGTTTTGCTTTATGAATCTACAGAAACAGAGGCTGCTCTCGGGCTCTCTACTGCCATTTCCTTCCTAGCACTTGACCTACCAGGTGAGGATGAGCGATTGACAGGACACGCCCACTTAAAGAAACCTACAGAGGAGGGTACCCCGCTGCCATCGGCCTTCCAGTGCCCCGACTTAGTGTGGATGTCCTGGACTGCACTGCGGTGTTGGAATCAAGAGTGACAGCCAGCCCCTGGAACTCGGCCCTGATGTCCCTACAGGTCAGAATCATGGACAGTAGAGACAGCTGTGGGAAGACAGGGGGTTCACCTGCACATCACACTATCCCTGCTTCACTTGGGTTTAGTCCAGAAGGGTCAGGGCTCCAACAACTCTGAAAACCTAGCGCAGAGCATCTCCAAGAACTGGATGAACATCTGCTGTAGGCAGAGCTTGTTAAAATGCAGATTCAGCCTCAGCCTGGGGTGGGGCCCGAATCACGCGCTTGCAACAAGTCTTGATTTGAAAAAGCACTCTCGGGGTAGCAAGGACAGTAGGGATGACAGGAAACTCATGAGGAATTGATGTCACATCCCTTGCAAAGCCATGAAGGCAGAGGAGGAAAAAGCAGCCATGCCCCGCCTTCCCGGCTCACCTCCTGGCTTAAGTGTGCCCGAACACTTGAGGTTTATTTTTAACTGCCAGCAGCTTTGATGAGCTTGTCTCTGCTGCTTTAGCCACCTGCTGGGGACAGGCGCAGCTGACCCAGATCTGACCAAGCCAAGGCAGAAAGAACGAGCTCTAGGGGACTGAGGCACTGCCTCCCCTTGCTGATTCTGGTGGAAACCTCCTGCCACTGATGAAGTGTTAAACTTGTTTTACCTGTGGTCACACCACCAGCGACCCTTTGCATCTGTAGCCTTTGCTCCAGGGAGTGGCAGAACTGCACGCTACCCATTTTGTCACAGGTGGAATATTTAAGTTAATGTGTTGACCTGCAGGATTTGCGCGGGAATCTTGTGGTCAATGTCTTCGTATGGCTTTCTACAGAGGCTCTGCACACATGCCCTGTGCAGGTGACTCAGAGCAGTAGGCACTGGGGCAGTGTACCTTGTGGGCTAAGTGCCCATCACCCCACGGTATGACTGCTACTGCTCTGCTTCTACAAAAGCAGATGCTGGGAAGCAGGGCACCAAGGGTACTTCCATGGTCACTGATGTTGACCCTGTAGCTCTCTATGGAGCCACCACTATGGCAAAACATGGTTTTCCATGTGGCATGCTCAGTTAAAGCAAGCACTGAATAAGCATCAGCAAAGTTTCACTCATCAGGGACCTAAGTTCCAGGTGAACCCCACCACTTCCTATGCACTTCCTGACACCAGCTATTATTCCCCTAAGCCTCTTTTCCCTCCTGCGGGAAGTCGGGGCAATGCCAGCCCTGCCAGGGCTCCTGTCGGAGACATGCTGTATGGAGTGGGATTAGGGCAGCAGCTGGGACATAGCAAGTGCCCAATAAAAGCTTTTTCGTCTTAAGAGAGGGTGTATGGGGATTGTCCAAGCACAATGATGGAAGCCAACAGAACTCAGGAATCAAGCCAGAGGCTGGGGTGTGCAGATGGCATCTGCTTGCTGGTCAGCCTGCAACTGCCTACCATCCATGCTGGCCACAGCATGTGGCAGTCAGAGCTGTTGAACCATGGGGCTGCAGAAGAGGGAGGAAAAGACCCACAAGGCCTTGCAGGATATGCTTCCCACTGTCTTTGGGTCCAACAGGGAGTGATGGCATCTCCAAGAGCAGGAAGGAATCCCCCATGTTGGGGCAGCTGGGCAAAGCTGACTCCCTCAGCCCCTGGCATTAAGACCTCCAGGGCCCAACCTGGCCCTCCCAACAGGAGGTCCTGCAACTACCTGGCTTCTCCTTGGCATCCACTTCTGTCTGCCAACTTCACAGTCTGCCCCCTCAAACCAGTTAGCTCCTACCAAACCTACTTCAATATAGCCAAGTAGCAAAATGCTAGGTGTCTGTGGTGACCTCCCCTTGCCTGGACCTTAAACAGTTCCACTGCATCCCATCCAGCACCTGCTCTTGGTCCCCAGACACCATGCTGACTGCCAGGGGCCACAGCACAGAGGATGGCAGCAGCTACACAGCTATTTTCTGGAGTTCGCAATATAGGGCCGATAGACATCACGCTGTACTGCACATAAAGAATATTAATTAAATGAGGGTTTATTTCAAAATTAGTCTTAGAGTGTAAGCTGTTTTTGAGGGCTGGAGCTAGACTACATAGTGAGCCGAGAAAGCTTCTGCCTTCCTCCAACACGAGGCGGAGAGGAGGCAACTGGCACCGGCCCTGCCCCCCGCCCCATCATGCATCCAATGATTACTAGCACTAGAAGCCAACAGCAAAGGAACCCGCGCATTTGCTCGTGTTTATCCAGGTTAAGCTATACACGTTTAAATACACGCCGGAGGTTACGTGGTGTCATGCAGTCCCTGTGATGGAATGACTCTTGCTCAGTGACCTCCTGCAGTAAGGCTGCTCCCAAGCGCACGGTTAGGTGGGGCAGAGCACTGAAATGACAAGAGGGGAGGAGAGAGGTCAGGCTCCGCCCCCAGCAGAGGCCCCGCCCCCTGGACCATGGCAGGACTGCTGTCTTCGTCCAGAGCAGGGAAGCAGCAGAGGCAGGTGGCTGCTTGCTGGCAAGGCTAGGTGTGAAGTTTCCTGGTCATCTGCCTGAGTCCAACTACTGGATCTCAGGCCACCGTTGAGTCTATGAACCAACCTTAAATATCCCAGAAAAAAAAAAAACAGAATTCAAAGATAACTTTAAGTTAATGCAAAAAATGTTCATGTCCACACATACATAGTGACCTTTTAATTTCTTTGAGATGCTTCATTTGAAAAAGGTAGAGTTACAAAGGCAGAGATGGGGAGGAGGGAGAGACAGAGAGAGATCCTGCATCCATTGGTTCGCTCTCCAAATGGCTGCAATGGCCGGGGCTAGGGCAGGCTGAAGTTAAGAAGCAGGAATTCCATCTGGGCTTCCCACCGGGGTAGCAGGGGACTGAGTACTGGAGTCATCTCCCACTGCTTCCCTCAAGCATATTAACAGGAGTACCTCGGACCTGAAGAGGCATCCGTATGACAGTCCAGCATCACAGGCAGTGACTTAATCCCATCACGTTGAAATGTCTTTCCCTACACAAACTTTGTGAAGACTTTCAAGCATAGATTTCAACTTTGTGTTTGTGTGTGCACCAGGGACAGGAGTTTGACACAGGAGTTAAACCCTGCCCGAGATACCACCCATTTCTGAATGTTCTGGTTCAAGTCTTGGCTCCAAATCCAATTCCAGCTTTCTGCTCATGTGCATCCTGAGATGCAACTGGTAATTACCCAAGTATCTGGGTCTCTTCCATCTGTGTGGAAAACCTGAATGGAATTCCAGGCTCCTGGCTTCAACCTGGCCTATCTACACCTGTTGTGAATATCTGAGTAGTGAACCAGCAGATATAAGCAAGTGCTGTCTCTTCCTGCCTTTTAGTAAAATATGAAAAAAAATTTTAAGGCCAGCATTGTGGCACAGTAGGTAAAGCTGTCTCCTGCAATACTGGTATCCCATATGGACACCAGTTCAAATCTTGGTTGCTCTACTTCCAACCCATCTCGTTGCTAATGGGCATGGGAAAGCAACAGAAGACAATCCAAGTGTTTGAGTCTATTCTGGGCGAGAGACCCAGAACAAACTCTGGGCTCCTGCTTTCAAGTTGGTACAGTCCTGGCAATTGCAGCCATTTGGGGAGTGAACCAGAGGATGGAAGATCTCTCACTCTCCCAGTCTGTTGCTACATTTCAAATAATTTTTTAATCTTAAAAAGTAATAATTTTGTTGAAAAAATAAACTTACCTTTTCATCACATTTTCCATGAACTTTCTCAAGTGTCCTTAGATTGAACTTGGGGAATTTATCCCGCCAGAATGTGCCTACCCAGCTTTCTGTACAATAGCAGTTATCTGTGCCAGTACCACAGGACTACTGGGAAAGCCCATGTTGTAGAAAATGCTCAGAAAACACTAACCATACTAACAACTTTCATAAACTCATTGACATTTTCAGTGAATCCTGAGGGAGAGAGTCTGGTCCTCAGTCTACCAAACACATAACTACTGTTTTTTCTTTACTTTTTAACTTAAAAATATTGTTATTGTTATTCTTATTATTGTGTGACAGGCAGAGTCACAGAGAGAAAGACAAAGATCCTCCATCTATTGGTTCATTCTGCAAATGGCTGCAGCAACAGGAACTGAACTGAGCTGATCCGATCTGAAGCCAGGAGCCAGGAGCTGTTCCAGCATCCTCCACACAGGCACAAGGGACCAAGGACTTAAGTCATCCTCTGCTTTCCCAGATCATAAACAGAGAGCCAGATCAGATGTGGAACAGCTGCATATAAACCAGTTACCCATATGGGATACCAGTGCCACAGGCCAAAACTTAACCTACCACACCACGGCACTGTACCCTGCTTTTTCCCTCCTTTAAAAAACATTTTATTTATTTGAAAAGCAGTTCGAGAGAGAAAGAGGGAGATACATATAGAAAGAAAATATAACCCATCCTTTCAATCTACTTTTGAAAATCACCTCTGTTGGAGTTACAGAGAGTTGCCAGCTGCGACACCAGCACCCCATATAGACACCGGTTGATGCCCTGGCTGCTTCACTGCTGATCTGGCTCCCTACTAAAGGCCTAGGAAAAGCAGCAGCAGTGGGCCTCTACCACTCACATGGGAGACGCAGACGCTCCCGGCTTCAGCCTGGCTGAGGACTAACTGTTGAAGTCATTTGCAGAGTCAACCAGTAGGTAGAAGATCTCTCTCTCTCTCTCTCCTCTGTAACTTTAAATTTCAAGATAAATAAATATATAAATTTTAAAACAAAGGGAGGTCTAGCACCCTGGCATATTAGGCTAAGCTTCCGCTTGTGGCTCTGGTATCCCACATGGACATAGATTTGTGTCCTGGGTGCTCCACTTCCAATCCAGTGACAATAATGTTCTTCAGCTGAAGATACAACTTTTGATAATATGGTATATGTTAAAAAAAAACAAAGTCTGAGGCTGGGAGAGGGCCTTGTGATACAGTGGGTTAAGCCAGCACTTGAACATCTGTATATCATATCAGAATGTCTTGGCCCAACCTCCGCCTCTGCTTTGGATCCAGCTTCCCGCTAAAGCATGCTCTGGAAGACAATGGATGACGTCTCAGGTACTTGGACCCTAACACCCACAGAGGAGATGCGGATAGTTCTTAGTTCTTGGCTCCAACCTGGCCCAGCCCTGGCTGCTGTGTAAATGTGGGGAGCAAAACCAGCTAATGGAAGATCTCTCTTTATCTTTCTCTGTTGCTTTGCCTTTTAATAAATGCATGAATAAGCTTTAGTAACAAATCCGAGGCTGAATCTAATCAAGCCGCTCATACCATCAATTCATAGGGAATAAAGGAGTAGAAACAAGACATTTATACCAATGAGGATAAAATCAGCAAAGTTACAGAATGAAGTCTATGCAACAAGCAGCATAATTTCCCCAACAAATTATTTCAAGGACTGGGAGACAGGAAGAGAAGAGTAACACATATAGATTAAAAGTTATGATCTAATCACAGCGTATGGCCCTTCACTGGAACCTGATTCAAACAAATGTACTGAAAACATTTTAGGGGAAAACCAAGAAAATCAGAGTATGTATTTAGCCCAGCAATTAAAACACCAGTTGAGACACCTGTGTCCCACATGGGTGAATTTGTTTCCTGACTCCAGCTTTCTACCAACAAATCCTGGGGGGCCGTGGTGTTGACTGAGGTGATCAGGTTTCTGTCTGAGACGAGTTCTCAGCTCTTAGTTGAGGCCTGGCCCAAGGCAGGCTATTGTGGACATCTGGGGAGTGAATCAGCGAACGGGAGCTCTCTCACGATCTCTGCCTACCAAGTTAATACATACTGAACGTTTTTTCTTTTTTAAACATGGAAATCTGAACACTGACTTGGATAGTCACTGATATTTCTTTTAAAAGCCTCAATTTCTTTTCACTGTCATAATGGCATTTTGGCTAAGTTTTTCTAGTTCTTATATCTTAGAAATGCATACTGAAAAACTTATGGATGAAAAATAAGAGGACTGACACCTGCATCAAAATAATATCAAAATAATACACCTGCATCAAAGAAGGGGAGAGGTTGGGTTGGGTAGGGATATAAAGCTAATTAAGCTCACCATGAGCTAATACTTGTTGGACTCAAATAATAATGCGGGGGAGAGTTCACGATGCCATTCAGTCACTTTGCGTTATTAAAAGTTTCCACAATAAAAGTTTTAAAAAGAGTTTTAAAAAAATGTATTTCAGCTTCAATGTCCTTTTAATTACTTGGTGTTCCCAACTAAACCCGAAATACACGAACTCCCCAGAACTTTCGTGGAGGGGCCTCTGTTGGCTTCTAACCATCAACAACACTGGTAATTCTGGGAAATGACGTCTTCTTGGGTCCCCCTGCAACATCCAAAGGCAAAACCCCTTTGATCTCCCTCCTCTCATCTTGTCTGGGCAGGCAAGAAAGGCCTCAGAGGGACTTCTAGCTGAGGCGGGAACCTCAGGGGGCATTTCCATGCCAGGACGCCTGGCGCTGTTCTTACCTTTTAAAATGTAGTCTGTTAACAATGTAGGCACCTTCTCGTTATCCTCCTTCATGGCAAAAAGAACTAGGAAGTGAGAGAAGAAGTGAGTCAACACACCATCGGGCCATGGAACTCCCTTCCGGGTTCAGACAACTCACCAGCCCAAAGGCTGCGACATGCAGCAGGGCGCCACTCACTGAGTGTTGAACAGCAGTCTACACACCCCGTCCAAAAGCAGCACATGGCAATGGAGGAGAATTCGCTCAAAGAACCACCACCGTGGTTGGCTCAGGGTGGAAGACTTGCTGGTGACTTCATTTACTTATTTATTTGTGAGGGGGCAGGTTATCTTAATTTTCATAGCTATGTATTGTTAATAATCATGCAGGTGAATAAATAAAGCCATTCTTAAACAAGAATCAGATCTCAAATATAGCTAATCTAATGAGATGATTCAGTTTTTTGTTGTTTTTGTTTTTTGCTTCATTTGCACTTGGTAGGTTAAGCCTATTCTGCAACATACTCAATGCCACACCAAAAACAGAATCATGAAAACGTAATAGCTGAACTTGCCAATCTTTAACTAAATTAGTGTCAAAACTCCAAAATCTGGAATTAGCATTGTGGCAGAGTGGATTAGACCACTGCTGGTGACCCCCACGTGGGAGTGCTGGTTTGAGTCGTGGCTTCCTGCTAACGTACCTGGGAGGAACAGAAGATGACCCAGGCCACTTTGGCACCTGCTGCCCATGTGAGAGACCCAGATGAAATTCCTGATTCCTGGTTGCTCACTGAACCTAGCCTGGCTCTTGGAGCCATTTGGGAAGTGAACCAGTGGGTAGAAGATCTCTCTCTCTCTCTATTATTTTGTCTTTCAAATAAACAGTCTTATTTTTAAAAAATCCAAAATTTACATGGATGCTCCAGCTGCAGAAGCTGGTCTTGGCCTCTGTCCTTAATTCATTGACCCAAGGGAATATTGTTCACAAATGCATCCAAGAAAAAAAGACAGAGAGAAGAGAGAGAGAGGGAGAGAGAGAACTCTTTCCTAATTGCCTAACCTACAGAATCGGTACTCAGATATGATGGTAGTTTTCCCTGGAAAAGAAATAAAATTTCACAATGTATTCTATCCACATGTTACAGACAGCCATTCAAAGCGTGTTAACCAAATGTTAACTGATGTGATCAAAATCATGATAGAAAATTTTATAGCAGTCTAATCCCAACAATAATAAAAAGATGTAAACTGCGATGGCAGAAACACCACAATGGGAGCCACAATGGAGTGGGCCATGAATTCGTTTTCTTTGTTTGCTTCCCCAGGTTTCTGAAGTTCTTTCAACGGTGGATGCCCTGGAGCTGTCATTTCAAAAATAAAATGGAAGGACGTCCTCCAAACAAAAGGGCTTCACCCTGAATTCCTGAACCAGCATCTGTCTTCAAGTACCAGCCAGCCCTTCTGCGAAAGTGCGTGATGGAGAACTTCATCTCGCCATTTGTCCTAACGATTTTTCCAATATGTACCACCATAAAAACCCCTCTATATGCCAGTCCAATTCTATCTGCTCCCTTCAAAAAAAAAAAAAAAAGATAGGGTATATTTATGTTAAGAAAGAATTTTTTTAAATGAGTCAGGAGCCAAGCAATGTACTTAGGATTCAAAATTCCTCATTCTGGAGGGGACAATGCTTGTGGATGGTAACAGTTCCCTGCTTGCCAGAACGAACCCACAGCATTCATTCTCCACATTGACAGTGGGCAGCTGGTCACTTGACACTGGGCCCAGCTGAGTGCAGGCCGCTGGTCACTTTACACTGGGCCCAGCTGAGTGCAGGCCCCTCTCCCTTTGCCCACATAGACCCTTCCCCTCCGGAGCCACCTGTAGGGACCACTCTCCACATTGCCCGGCTGCCATGAAATAGTATCTCTGGTGGTCACAGAGCCTTGGCCTGGGGTTCTTTCACTTCCTAGGAGAGCCACGCTGGTGCTGCCGGCTAACACCACAAGCCCTGGCCCTCTGGGGGAAGGTCCAATTCGATGTTTATAAAGAGATTTGACCATACCAAGTCTCTCTGTCACATGATGCTGTAGGAGACAGGAGCGGGATGGGGAACGGGTGAGGGAATAGGACTTTCTGAAGGGAAAGCTAGTCTCTAGTCTTTCCCATTAACCTTATCCCACCGAGAAACCGTGGTTCTCAGCCAGGCCCAAGAGATGCCAGTGCAGACCAAGCAGCGTGATGTTGCAGGAAGAGTGACCCAGAAAACTGCTGGGAAAGTCGCCTGCACCTGCATGGCCCCTCAGCCCACACCCACCATACACTTGAGCCTCTTCCACCAGCTCACGCTCTCCCATCCCTCCCAGCAACTCTCTTCCCTTACATCTGAATTTCACCCTGTGCGGCAGGATATGCAGTGACAACAGAGAGCAAATTATGGCCCACGTAAAACTGTTCCCAGGAAGCCATGGGCCTCAGGCACAGGAAGTGTGAGGATCGGGCGAAAAGGTGAGTTGGTAGGGGACGAGAGGGACTCACTGTTAGTCAGCATCTGCAGGTCTTCCACGGAGGGCGGGGAGGCCTTCTTCTCGTAAGGGATGACTGTGTTCAGATACTGTAAACCGACAGAGCAGGTATGGCCCGAGATGTGAGACCCGACGGACACAGCCCCCGTCAGATGTGGCGTCATCCACCGCCCTCGGGGTCATTAGCTCACCACTATTTCAGAAGATATACGCTCCTCCAACCGTGCCCCTCCCCCGGCCCCTTTACCTCCCCACCAACCACCTTTGGTCAAGGGAACCCTCCCTCTACCCTAAATCCCACATGCTTGCTACTCTGGGCGTTTTACACTGTACAGGAAGCCTGGAGAGATTTTTGTCCTCCAAGTGAGCAGCAGAGAGCATCTCGGGGGAGCGGGGGAGGGGGGAAGAATTTTATATTTCTATATTCTTGTTCTTTACAATGTAACTCCAGGAGTAGTTTGCCTCGGGTCAAAAAATGATGGGGAAATGGTGGGCAAGGGAACGGCCACGGGCTCAGGGACTGAGAAGTTGGATTTGCTCCCTCTGCTGGGTGTGAGGTGCTCCTACAGCAACACCTGCAGGGCGGGGTTCAGGAGGAGGCGGATTCCAGGGAGACATCAAAGACCACTAGAGAGAGGCCGGAGGGATGTGAAGGAGGTCCCCGGTACTAAGTGACAGATGCCGAAAGACTTGTGTTTTAGCCTCAGCTCCGCCACCGGCAGCATGGCCTTGAGAAAACGGCCCATCTTTGCCTTGCTCCTCACGGCTGTGTTCCTACAATCTCACTCCAGACAGCAGCTCAAAATTCTAACACCTCAGCTCCAACCATATATTAAAAAAACAAAATACACATTTCATGTGCACTCTTTAATTATCTCAAACTTCTCTGTTCCCACACGGGTTGTGTCTCTTAGCTTGTGCACCCAGTGAAGGGCCGGGACTTTTCACCCTGGACCCCAGAGGGTAGCAGCAAAGCTCAGCACATAAGAGGCATGCAGGAAAGTTGCACAGCTGCTTTGCAGACAAATTCCTGACTAAATGGAGCCAGCAAGGAGACGCCACAGCAGGGGTTACAATCAGAGAAGGGTGGCTGATGAGGCAGTCTGGGTAGCGTTTGCTCAGTTGGTGAGCCAATGTGCTAGAATTAAACCCTCAGATGGGATGTCTCACAACACCCTTGTAACGCATTCTGTCCTGAAAACAAATGAATCCATAGGTCTACAAGCAGTGTCAGACTGTGACATAAAAACTGCCCCAGAACCCTGGAGCAACCCTCATACACCTTACAAAAAAAAATCAGGGACGATGTTAGGTGCAGCAGAGATGCAGCCACACCCCCGGGGGTTTATGAAGTTTCTGCTTCCTGCTAATGCACAGCCTGAGGGGCAGCAGGTGGTAACAGCTCAGGTAGTTGGGTCGCTGACACCTGCCTAGGAGCCCCAAACTGAAATCCAGTCTCTTGTCTTTGACCTGAACCCCACCACAGCTGCTGCTAGCATTCCGGGAGTAATCAGCAAATGATCAACTAATATTCTCTCTTTCTATTTCTTTATCTTTCTTTCTAAAAGATGAGTAACTTTTAGAAATTTTATGTGCTTCTTTAAAAAGATACTCTATTCTAAATAAAAGAAACTACTAAAACCCTCCCTTTATTGCGTTACTCCAAATTCTTGGAGTCACCGTTGCTACGTGGTTGGGGAGGCCGAACTGCAAGAGCCTGGATGCAGAGCTGGGAGCGGGGAACAGCTCGTACCTGTTTGTCGGTCCCTGAGGAGCCGAAGGTCTGGCGGATGCCACTTTGTAGGATGTTGGAGATGCCTTCCATGCTGAAGCGCTGGGGGGGCGGAGACACTCAAAAAGGACACATCCTTGCTACTGCCACTCCCAGGGACGCCTGGGTCCTCACTGAACCCCCACATTCACCCGCTATCATGCTGTCCCAGGTAACAGCCCCCCTGGGTTCTGAAGCTCAGAAGTACATTTACCATCTTGGCCAGAATGTAAGCCTAAGCTTTGCAAGAATAAAGAGTAGAGCTTTTGGAGGCCAACACAGTGATGTAGCAAGCTAATCCTCCGCCTGTTGCACTGGAATCCCAGTGCAGCCTAACTGCTCCACTTCCGATCCAGCTCCCTGGGAAAGCAACAGAGGATGGGCCAAGTCCTTGGAACCCTGCACTCATGAGGGAGACCTGGAAGAAGCTCTTGGATCCTGGTTCCTGGCTTTGGAACGGCTTAGTTCCAGCTATTGTGGCCATTTGGGGAAGAAACCAGCAGTTGGAAGATTCTTTCTCTCTCTGTCTCAATATGCCTTTCAAATAAAAATAAAATAAATCCTCCCTCCGCCCTGCAAAATAAAGCCTTGGGTCCAGTGCTGTGAAATAGTGGCTTAAGCCACTACTGCAGCATCGGAATCCAGTGTGGGCAATGGTTCAAATCCCAGCTGCTCCACTCCTGATCCAGCTTCCTGCTAATGGAGTGGGGGAAAAGTAGAAGATGGCCAGGTACTTAGGCCTGTGCACCCACATGGGAGACCCTGGAAGAAGCTCCAGGCTCTTGGTTTTGGCCTGGCCCAGCCCTGGCCATTGTAGTCATTTAGGGGATGAGCCAAGGAGATCTCTCCCTCTGTCTCTCTTCCTCTGTAACTGCCTTTCAAATAAACAAATGTTTAAAATAACAGTAAAAGGGTAGAGTCTCAGGCCTGGCGTGGTAGCCTAGTGGTTAAAGTCCTCCCCTTGCACATACCAGGATCCCATGTGGGTGCCAGTGATAATTCTGGAGGGCCCCCTCCCTTCCCATCCAGCTTCCTGCTGCATGGCCTGGGAAAGCAGTCAAAGACTCTCCGTATATCTGACTGTCCAATAACAAAATAAATAATAAATAAAATCTTTTTAAAAATGTATGTGATTTAAACAAAAAAGAGTCAAGACTCTTATCTCAACAAGTCCCTCACAGCTAAAGGACCCCTCTGTTTTCCTGATTTTTTCCTTCACGACGAAACAGAACAGTAAAGCTCAGGCAACCAGTGATACCAAGATCTTAGATGACACAAAACGTTCAGTGACCAAAAAATATCTGAGATGCTTTCCTTAAAAAATTATTTATTTTTATTGGAAAGTGATATTTACAGAGAGGAGAGACAAAGAAAGATCTTCCATCCACTGGCTCACTCCCCAAGCAGCTGCAATGGCCAGAGCTGCGCCGATAGAAGCCAGGAGCTCAGAGCTTTTTCCAGGTCTCCCACGTGGGAGTCCCAAGGCTTTGGGCCATCTTTCACTGCTTTCCCAAGCCACAAGCAGGGAGTTGGATGGGAAATGGAGTCGGTGGGACATGAACTGGCACCCATATGGGTTCCTGGTGCGTGCAACATGAGGACTTTAGCCATTACGCTTCTGCGCTGGGCCCTCCAAGATGCTTTTTTTCCAAAACGCACATGCCTAGGCCTAAATCAGTGGCTCTGAGATAGAACTCACGCTCAGCCATTCTGAAAGAGCTGCCTAGACAATCCCACTGTGCTCCTCTGGCTGTGAACTGCTGTCTTGAAGAGTCTGATCAAGAAGCTACTAAGGCATTGGCTGTTTTTCAAGCAGCGATACCCTTCCCAACCAACACATCACCTACCCCCTGTAAGACCCTCACCTCTTCTACCCCCGAGAAGTCTTGCCAGGACTGTAATCTGTGTCCAAAACACAGATCTGGCCCCTAAGGGCTGAGACTGCTCCCCTGCCAACACTATGCGCCAAGGTCTGCCTGAAGAGAACAAGGTGCCATCTTCAATCGTGCTTAGCTGTGCACGCCCTGTCTGCCCCCATTAGCCTGCGAGCCCTCTCAGGGAGGGGAGGAGGCAGGCATTCTCCCACCCCACCCCCTGCTACTGCTCCTGAGCCCACTGCAAGGTTGGCACTGGGGCTGAAGGGCTGGGCCGGGCACCTGGCCTTTCGCTGGGGCTGCTCACATACCTTAAGAGGCATCTGGCTTCCCTTCTCTATCCGGCTGCTCTGCAGGCTTAGTCCCTTCTCTTTCCGCCTCTTCTTCATCAGTTCCCGCTGCTCCTTCTGCTTGTTCTGCACTTCGATCAGCACTGTGATGAAGGAGTTCTTCACCTCCTTCTCAAACTCCAGCTCGTCCCGGCGGGCCAGCTGCTGCACCAGCTCCTCTGAAAAGTCGCGGATGGCTCCCTCCACCTGGTCCAGCAGCTCGGCCAGCTCTGACCCAGACATGTGCCTCAGCCCTGCGGGGGAGGAACACCCCACAAGTGACACGGCAGTCACACCTTGCCTGCCCCTCAGAGAGACCCCGAACAGCTCTCTGAGCACAAACATGTGGGGGACAGACATGTGGTTTTTCTTAATCCCCTCTTCTTTATCTCCAAATTTTTCCTCACGTAACACGGGTCAAGAATTGAGGGAAAAAGGCAGAGAGAAGGTTTTCTGTGCAATAGCACAGAAAAAGCAATAGCAGAGTGGTTTTTATTCCCAAGAACTGATCAACACCTTGCTGACCACAAAGTCACCAGACATCTGAGGCCCCCTGTCCAATCACGGTCCTGGTCCGTGTTCAGATGTTTGGGAAACACATGGAAGACTGGGACAAATGAAGCCTGCCTGCCAGTCACTATAGAGCAGTCTGCTACTTTCAGAGACAAGAAAAGGGAACCTGGAGGGAGCACCGTGGCACGGTAGGTTAAGCTGCTGCTTAGGACCACCCCTCCAGCAGACACACGCGTATGCACACACACATACACCCTGCTATCAGAGTACCCGTTCAAGTCCCAGCTACTCTGGTACAGCTACTCAGATGCTGGGGCAAGCACATGGGTTCCTGCCCCACTTGTAAGAGACCCCAGTGGAGCTCTTGTCTCCTGGCTTGAGCTTGGGCCAGGCCAGGAATTTAAGGGTAGGTCAACCAGCAATGAAAGATCTCTCTAACTTTATGCCTTTTCTTTCCCTATTGTTCTGCCTTTCAAGTAAAGAAACGAATACAATAAATTAAAAAGTGGCAGCAGCGGGATTGGGATGGGGGTGTGGATAGAAGGGAGGATAAAGAAAAAGGGACCTGGACCTGAGACTTTAACTTCTTGAGATTTTCTGTTTTGAAATAAATTTGGGGTGCACCTTTTAAATATATTCCTATTTAATGGTATCTCTTATTTTTAACTGAAAACCCATTTCATTTTTCTCTTTTCCGTTCTGCTTTGCCTGGCTATTTGCTGACTCTGTTCAGCTTTCCCTTTATTTTGCTCTCGGGAGACGTCCTCCTCCTCCTGTTTCTTTGCCACTTTTCCCTGCATCTCAGCTGTTTCCATGGGTCCCTTCTGAACACTGCTGTGTTTGGGGCCTTTGTGTGGCTGAGAATGGCGTGACCGGGGCAGCTGTGAATGCAACAAGGCAGCCAGATCCACTGCTTTGCCGGGCCGGCCTCCTCCTGCGGCCGCACCCTGCCTCGCTCAGCCTCTGCTTCCAGAGCCACAGCACACAGCTTTTAGGAGGCTGTGCCTGAGACAGACATGGGCCAGGCCAGGAGTCAGAGAGGGGCAGAGAGCAGGCCCTGCACACCGTCCAATCTCCTCACCTCCCACGCCGACTCAACACATCCACTGCTCACCATGGAGCTAAGCCTTGCTTCCATCACAACCCGGACACTGACATTTTCCCAGGGACCACCACCTATGCCACAACCCCACCTCAAATCCTGTCTCCTTTAAACATTCAATCAGACCCTGCGCCCAAACACCACCCTTTATCCTACAGACAGGATGACTGCAGCCTGGGTGGGAGTCACTCTCCTTCGGGGCGTGGCCGGCACTCGGCACTCGTGTCTCAGTGTGTACTAGCCCTTTGCCTTTCAGTACATCCTGCTTTCTGCTCACCTCTGTCTAGGGTCCTGGTTGTACTCTCACACACAGGGCTAGCACTGGCTAAGCATCTCTCCAAGCCCAGACTGGGCTCTCAGCCCCACAAGACCACAGCTCAGTTATCACCACTTCAGAGCCAAGTTCAGACCTGTGTACCCCAACCGACTCACATTCTCTGTGGTCCCTAAGATCCCAGCAGCTTGCTAGGCAGCAAGGTAGACATTAGTTCATAGGGAGGGGATATAGCACAAATGACTGAGGGAAGAAATGGAAGAAACACACCTGGAAAGCCAACCAGAACGTAGACATCTGAAGTTTTGTTCTTGTTCAATAACCATGTTAGGTGGGTCCCAGCCATCAGTGGGAGGTGGCAGAGGGGGCAGCTTAGGGGAATCTTCTCTGCCATGTGCCAGGGAAACTATTAGGTCCAATAATACTGCGCTGGCAGAGTTCCAGGGGGAATCTCACGAATTCCACCTCCGGAGAGCCCTCTGCCCAGCTGTGTCCCAGGAGGAGAGTAGAATGCAGGCTGGCTCCCTGCTTTGGTCCAGCACAAAGATTCTCTTCCTTCAACTTTGTGCACTGCTACTCTGTCTCTCATCTGAAATCCTTTAGCTGTGGGAAACTCAAGGGCATCTGCCCAGTCATCTCCAGCAATAAGCCCAAGTGTGGGCCCCTGCCCAGGCTGGCCCACTCCTCCATACCCCCACCAGAAGCATCATCCCCCTCCTTGCAGTTTGTTTTCAAGCCTGTCTTGGCTCTGTTACATCTGTTCCTTACACGTTTGATCCAGCCCTTTCTTTACAGGACCACGGTAAGTGCAAACCTGCGCCAGACACTGATGAGGATTAGGAGACCAGGCCCTGCGTCTTCAAATGGAGCGGGAGGCAAAGGCGAGCGTCAGAGAGGCCTGCCTGGCCCCACTGAACACAAGGGAACAGACTCTCCTTTCTCCTACCTCCCTTTTCTTTCAGAATTTCCTTTTTGTCCTCTTCAAATGTTAAATCTTCTTAATGACTGAATGAGCCTCTTGCCACTCCCATAATTCAGATGGGTTCTCCGAGGGCCTGGGAGTCCCTGCTTTGAAATGTGGTCTAATCTTGACTGTTCTGGGAGCAAAGGCTACGGAGCCTACTTAGTGTAATGGGTTCTGCCCACTTAGCTGCAGGAAACAGTGAGATTTACAATCCTTTCCTGACAGCCTGGGACACATCTCCTTATGACTTAATGCTTATTCCATAATAGAATCGTTCCTTTCTCTTCCTTCTTTGTGGACAACTTTTCTGGGTAAAGAAGAGGTTCTGGTATTAACCCTTTTTCTTCCACAGTGGCCTTGGACTAGTCAACCTCTACAAGATTCAGCTCTATCCAAACAGGGTTCATGTGAGGTACATGAGATTCTGTGCAGGGTTGTAAAATAGGGTTTGCACACAGAAATCACTCCCAAAATACGTGCTCTTATTAATATTCTCTTTCAAATTTTTAAATAGCTAGTAGAGAAAATTGTGAATGTTTAATGTATAAGGTGACAGGCCAGTTACCCTGATCTGATTGTTATACCATGTATAAATGTATTGAAATATCACACTGTACCCCATAAATGTGTATAATTATTCTGCATCAGCTTAACATGGAAATATGCATATGTTTTAAAGATCCTTCCCATCCCCAAATGCCAAGTGTACTCCTGAGGCTGAGACAGGAACACATCCCTGAACCCAAGGTACTGCGGGTCACATGTGACGGACATGGCACAGCGCCTGGCCCAGCCTGGTCACCTCGTCCTCTGCCAGCCCAACCCCAGGCCCTCACCTTCATAGGACCAGTTGTTGTTGAAGGTCTGTGTCAGGGCCTGCATCTCTTGCAGCAGGACTGAGTCAGCCTGGGAGGAGGTTTCTCCTCCATCCTCTTCTTCCAGAATCTCCTCTTCCTCCTCAGGGTCTGGGGAGTTCTGCATCATTTCCTCAATCTCCTCGATGACCTGGAGAAGGCACACACACACACACACACACACACACACACACACACACACACAAACAATGCTGACTCTTGACTCGCTAGTCCTGGAGGGCCCTCTGGCCTGACTTGATCAGTGAGGGCCATCCCTAATTTGCTGCCTGAAGAATGCCTAAGGCAATATTATTTCTAAAGAAATGTTGAATACCAATAAAAATAGAATGGACCAAAGGCTTACCTATACTCTGCCTTTAATGGAAAGCACCCTTTAATGTAACACCTTTTCCAAGAGCTCCATTTAGAAGGATGCCTTATTGGAAATCAACCGCTCTTTCAGGAAGCAAAAACAGGGCTGTTTGAAGGGGAGCATTCGCTTCAATGTGCTGAGCACTTTCCTAAGTGGAACAATGCTTTGGCCACCCATCTTTCACACAAAAAAACCCTGCCCATAATCCATCAGAGTGTAAGTGGCTGGCAGAAACATGCAGTCTTCCTAGAATATAACTCAAAATGGAGAGTAAAACAGCTAATTCTTCAGCATTCAGCCAGACAGGAACCAGAGCTTCTCAGAAATGCAAACAAAGATGATACATATAACAAAAGGGGAGGTAGGGTTTGAAGAGCAGAAATTAGGTTAAGAATTCTGACTCTAACGTATCCCACAGATGCGGGACAGTTCCTAGAGGGGGAAGGTAAGAGTAGACACCAGCTGGAAGCAATACCTGTGAGTGACAGAGAACGGGAATCGCTTCTTCATAAAAGTGGTGAAAGCCCAGAGCAGGTCTCCAAGGAGCCTGGGGAGTTTGGTCACCGCAGGGCACTTTTGCACGTGTCTGACATGGGTGCTGGGACACCCGCCCTCCAAGGTGCCTGGCCTGGGGTCTCTGATTCAGGTTTCCTCCTTGAGAAGCTCAGCCCGGATCAGGGGGCTAAGAGTCTTCTTTTGATCCATTTCTGCTTTTATTCCCAAACTTCTCAACTCTACTCTGAGGGACACCCAGACTTTCACTGCAAAACCACGTTCGTGGCCGCCTTTAGGATCTGACGGCTGAGTTTCTGCCTCGCTAAGGGCGGTTATCACTGCACTCGTGCCGCGGAGTCTTTTCCCCCTGCAACTCACAAGAAAAATTGCTAATCCCTGCTGTATTCTGTCGGGCTCTGTTCAGTTTCCTAATGTTCACCTAGTTCAAATGCCAGAGAAATGAGCAACAAGTCTACTAAAAAACATGTTCAGACAATGAAGCCTCTCAGGCAAGCTTTTTCAGATCAATTTTGTGAAACCTTTTTATTATATTTATTTATTCATTTGAAAGGTAGCGTTACAGAGAAATGGGGAGGAGATAAAGAGAGAAAGAGGGAGAGAGAGAGAGAAAAGAGAGAATCTTCCTTCTGCTGATTCATTCCCCAAATGGCTGCAGCTGATAGAGCTGTGCTGGTTTGAAGCAAGGAGCCAGGAGCTTCTTTCTGGTCTCCCACGTGGGTACCTAGGCCCAAGGATTTGGGCCATCCTTCGCTGCTTTTCCAGGCACATCATCAGGGTGCTGAATCGGAAGTGGAGCAGCCAGGACTTGAATCGGTGCTCATATGAGATGTTGGTGCCACAGCACTGGCCCCAATAGATATTTGTTTACTACAAAGTCAGATAAGGAAATCAGAGACTCAACATTATTCTCCCTAGGTAACAAGCTATTAAAACTAAAATTAAAAAAACGGGGCCCAGCATTGTGGTGCAATGCATTAACCCACCACCTGGTGTGCTGGCATCCCCTATGAGCACCGGTCCTAACCACATCACATCTGATCCAGTTCCCACCAATCGCCACCCACAGGAAAGCAGCAAAGGTGACCCTAGTGCTGAGGCCCTGCCACCCATGTGTGAGACCCTTATGGAGATCCTGACTCTTGGCTTTGGCCGGGCCCACACCTGGCCACTGTGGCCAGCTGGGGAATGAACCAGCAGAGAGCTCACTCACTCTCTCTTCTCTGTCTCTCCTTCTCTCTTTATAACTCTGCCTTTCAAATAAATTAAAAAAAAAATACGTCTTTAAGAACAAAATCAAATCAAATGTGAAGCATCCTTTGTTTACAAAGATAGTAGCATCTCCAGGACCCCTTTTGGAAGCTTTTAAATGTTTCGTGTCCCATGAAGTGAGAGAAGATAGCCGTCACAGAGATGCTTCATCTGCCACTTCTGATTTTAGAACAGGCATTTGAGAACCTTGTCTGAGTGTCTTGACTTCAAAGAGATTTAGCAGGAACTGAAGCCAACGCGCACTGACTGGCCTCCCAACGCAAAAGTCAGGAGTTACATTAATGTACCCAACAGGCAGGTAAACGAAGGCACAGAGTTCTCTAACTCCTTGTTAAAAACCCTCTGAGTCATCAGCACGCTCGCCACTGCCCGCCTCACTTGCTTCTGCTTCAGGGGCATGCGGCACGCCTGTTCTCATGAACCCCCTCTGCATCATCACACGAGGTCCCCAGGCCCCAGAGAGAAGAGCCCGTACCTGATCCGCTGTGAGCAGTGGCTCCTCATTGATGCCAGAGTCATTCTCACTCTTCTCGTTGAACTCCTCCTCCTCCTCCTCTTTCTCATGGATCTGGAAGGAGGGAGGGAGGAGATGGAATTCTGATCAAGCAGACACTCCAGGGCCCGGCGCAGTATCTTAGCAGCTAAAGTCTTCGCCTTGCCTGCACTAGAATCCCATATGGGCACTGATGCTAATCCTGGCAGCCATGCTTTCCATCCAGCACCCTCCTTGTGACATGGGAAATCAGTCAAGGATGGCCCAAAACCTTGGGACCCTGCACCTGCAAGGGAAACCTGGAAGAGGCTCCAGGCTCCTGGCCTCAGATCAGCTCAGCTCCAGCTGTTGCAATCACTTGGGGAGTGAATTAGCAGATGAAACATTTTCCTCTCCTCCTCTCTGTATATCTGACTTTCCAATGAAAATAAAATAAATCATAAAAAAGACACTTCAGCTTTTCACTGTTCATACTAGGAAGTGTCTGGAGTTTATTCAGTGGCCGTTGTACCCCTGTCACACTGCATGCACCACTGAGTCCAGCGTGGCCAGGAAAGGACAAGCGGGAGGAGTGGCTGCCACCACTCCGACTCAAAGCACCGGCTTGGTTCTTTAGCCCACAGACCTGTCTCCCTGGGGCCAACCAGGAGTGTTGTCGTGTCAAAGTGAATGATATTCCAGTGCCCCCTACACACACACACACACACACACAGCGCAAAGGCACTTATTTTAATAGGAGTGTCAATCTAGGGCATTGTTTCCGGAGTTTGTTTTGTTATCGTTTTAAAGGGCACATTGTTTCAGCACAAACAGTCATAACTTTCAGGACTGGATGAAACGCTGTCCTGTTCCTGGAATCTGAACGTGCTGTCACAGTTGACAGAGGATGCAATAAATCGTCGTTAAGACATGCTCTTGAATAACCTGTCCACATGAACTATAGGACAAACTGAACAGTAAAAAAAAAAAATAGTGAAAGTGGGTCCAGCGCAATAGCCTAGCAGCTAAAGTCACTGCCTTGAACGCATCAAGATCCCATATGAGTGCTGGTTCTAATCCCAGAGGGCCCGCTTCCTATCCAGCTCCCTGCTTGTGACCTGAGAAGGCAGTCGAGGACGGCCCAAAACCTTGGGACCCTGCACCTGCAAAGGAGACCTGGAAGAGGCTCTAGGCTCCTGGCTTCAGATCAGCGCAGCTCTGGCCATTGTGGTCACTTGGGCAGTGAGTCACTGGACAGAAGATATTCCTCTCTGTCTCTCATTCTCTCTGTATATCCGCCTTTGCAATAAAAATAAATAAATCTTTTAAAAAAATAGTGAAAAAGAAATCTGGGCCCGGCGCGGTGGCACAAGTGGTTAAAGGTCCTCGCCTTGCACGCCCAGGATCCCATATGGGCGCCGGTTCTAATCCCGGCAGCCCCGCTTCCCTTCCAGCTCCCTGCCTGTGGCCTGGGAAAGCAGTCGAGGATGGCCCAAAGCTTTGGGACCCTGCACCCGCGTGGGAGACCCAGAAGAGGCTCCTGGCTTCGGATCAGCATAGTTTCGACCCGTTGCGCTCACTTGGGGAGTGAATCATCGGACGGAAGATCTTCCTCTCTGTCTCTCCTCTCTGTATATCCGCCTTTCCAATGAAAAAATAATAAAAATAAATCTTTAAAAAAAAAAATAGTGAAAAAGAAATCTATCCACTTGTCCATTTGCTCTCAGTCTCCAAAACACCTTAAGCCTAGACATGACTCTGAAAATTGAGCCTTTGAGCTTTCAGATGTTTAAGTCTGATAAGACATTCACAGAATTGCTGCTTTGATTGACTGTATCCCAAACTGCCACTGGCTGACATCTGCGTTCAAACTCTACACCAAGTATTCACTGAATCATCTAACGGCTCCATGTCCAGCAGTTTAGCCGGACAGCCCCAGAGGAAGCTGACACGCTACCTCCCCAGCAAACGGGTCTGCAGAGCCACCTCCCATCTAGGAAGCAATCTCCCTTGCCCTGCCAGGCCTGGCCCGTTGATGGGTCCCACGTGGGGTGACATTCTGACAGGAAAGATCCCAGTTGCAATCTCAGCTGTGTATCTTCTGAAGCTTCTCCCCTCTTCTTTGGGGGAGACGGGGAAAGGGGGTTTCATTTTGGCAGACACCCCTCACAAAGCATAACACCTCCTAGCTCCATTTGCTGAGAATCAGAAACTATGTCATTATCCAAAATTTAGCAACTGTATCTCAAGAGCCATCTGTGCTTCACCTGGGTGAGAGATAGGACAGGCAGGTGACAGAATCACTTAAGGGGCTGCTGTGCCAGATGGTGACATGTATTTCTGCTGTGGAACCCAGATGCTCCTGCCTCTGCCAGGTCTACCACCTATGGTAGCCGCCGGGTTTCCACTACTCCCTACTAGGCAGAACAGAACTCCACAGCCACACGTTCACCGCTCACAGCCACAAACTCACATACAGAAGTTTCTTAGGGACAAAGAGGTAGCCACACGGTAGAAGATAGGCTTCTATTAGGAAAAAAGAGTTTTGTTTTCTGGTTGCATTAAAAAAAAAAAAAAGCATCTGACAGCAGCTGCTAGTTTATAAACCAAACTGGGAAGGGAGCATGGTCTGGGCTATGAATCTATTAAAACGATACACTGATGTTTTCCGCGTCGTGGTTGGTTGTAGTGTTATTTGGATCTCCTTTCCCCACATCTAGCCTCAGGCTGGGAGGGACCCTCCGCATTGTTTAAATGTTAATGAGCTTGGGCTTGCCTGAACTGGAGGAACCTGAAAAGCTGCCTTCCTCCTCCTTCTCTTAGGCACAAACCCTAAAGAAAATCATCCCAGGTTAGAAGAGGTCTGGAAATCAGCCTTAAACCGATCAATTCTAGCCGCACTGGCTTCCTCCTGTTGTGGGAGATAAACTCAAGCCTAATTTTCCCAACTCTCAGAAGTTGGACACTAAAAAGCAAAATAGCAGGGAAAAAATACACAAAGAACCCCCAAGCCAGTCCTCTTCCCTGTTCTGGCTGTGAAAGCAACCTTCCCTTGCAGTCTTGCCCACCCATCCCTGCACCTGCTCTTGCTCCTCCAGCTTTTGGCTCTGATTCCTCCTCCCTTCCCGACCCTCTCCAGGCCCGGTTGCCGCACTCCCTGTCAATCCTACCAGACTCCTTCTGCTCCAATAGCTCCTGTCATCTCTCAACAACTCCTTTTCCTTTACACACACCATTTATAGACGCCCCATCTTCCCTCCCTTATAAGGGACAGCATGGAAAGCCCAAGGGGGAACTAACAAAATGAGAGAAAGGTTTTTGAAAAATGACAGCACTTATGCATATGGATGTGCAAGGATACTGCAAAAAAAAAAATTGTGGAAAATCAGGATTAAAAGGTTAAAAAAAAATTTCCACTGTAAAATGTTTTTTGAAATCCATGAATAACTTCTTCATAACACACACTTTTCATAAAATTTTCAAAAATCCCTTCACATGCAAGGGACCTCAAAATGTCTGAAGTTTGCTGAAGTTGCCATTGAGAATACTTTCAGCCCTTTGTGCAGCAATAAGAGCTACATGCAAAAAAACAACTTTCAGCTCGACTCACGTGGGGCTGAATGTTTTTAGAAGCCCAAATTCTCCTATGCTCTCCCAAAGGAAATCATATTTCTAGTACATTCCTCCCAGAATCCAGAGGACTTGAGTGCAGAGAAGGATCAGACAAATGCCATTCAGCAAGTTGTTTCTTCTCCTGCTTTTGGGAAAGGGTTTGCATCAAGGGCTGTAACACAGTAGCACAGTAGCTTAAAACTTGACAATCAGTGTAGAGGAGCAGTTACTCTGATGTAGCACATCTTAAACCCACCAGTTTGTGTCCTGGCTGCTCCAGTTCTGATCCAGCTCTCTTCCCAAGGTCTGGGAAAGCAACAGAGGACGGCCTCAGGCCCCTGCACCCACAGGAGAGACCCAGAAGAAAATCGTAGTTCCTGGCTTCGGGGCAGCTCAACTTGGTTCATTTCAGCCATTTGCAGAGTGAACTGGCAGATAGAAGACCTCTCTGTCTCTTATCTTTGTATCTCTGCCTTTCAAATACATAAATTAAAAGAAGAAGAAGAAGAAGAAAAGAAGGGAAGGAAGACAGGAAGGAAAGAAAAAAAAAACAAGAAAGAGAAAAAGTAAAAAAATTGCCCAGGGATTGCCAGACATGAGAAATGGGAATTAAAACAAATAGGTAGAAAAAGCAATGGAGAGAGCAGAAGAAACTCTGGGTGTTCATGTGGAAAACCAGGGCGAAGCTCCAATCTGCTGGCTCCTTCCTGACTTTGACCTAGCCTAACCCTGGCTGTGGCAGTCATTTGGAGAGTGCACCAACAGATGGAAGCCATCTCTCTCAGTGTGTCTCACCGGCTCTCTCTGTAGCTTGCCTTTTAAATAAGTGAATCTTTTAAAAAGCTCTGTTTCCCTTAAACATGGCCTGTTACAATTCTTAAAAAAACCAGAAGTCACTAAAGATCAAAAGCGTACTAGTAAAGTTGATATTTTTCTAATAGAGTTGAAAATCAGCTATATATACAAATTCTCTAAAGAGTAAAACAAAATAGGTAGAAAATGACAGGAAGAAAAATTAGAAGATCAATTTCAAAAGTTCGATACTTGAAGAAAAGGATCACAGAGGGCAGAAAGAGAAGAGCTGGTCTCTTTAATCCATTACAGAGTAATTCGTGTTGGACTTGCCTTTCCTGCCATACACAACTATACATCAGCACAAAATCCATGAGCCCATTGTTTCCAACCCTGGACACAGGCAGTGCAAGGCTGCATCCCTTGATTAGGGGAAAACATAAAAGCAATGAAAGCTGCCAAAAGTTGCCACCTAAGACCCAACACTACAGAAAGTGTTCTACAGAGTTTATTGGACTGAACGGAAATGATGGTGAAAAACACCAGAAAGGATAAATATGTGCATCTGTATTAAAAATCAGCTTCCTTAAAATGCAACTTACTATCCAAGCAAAAAGAGCTGCAGTGTGGAGTTCTAATAAAATAAACAATAACAATAGCACGGAAGATGGATGGAAGGAACTCATGCTGCT